TTTTAGATAAAGGAAACGCAGTGGATCTAATTTACTTAGATTTTAGTAAGGCGTTTGATACTGTGCCACATGGGGAATTATTAGTTAAATTGGATAAGATGGGCATCAATAGGAAAATTGAAAGGTGGATAGGGAATTGGTTAAAGGGGAGACTACAACGGGTCCTACTGAAAGGTGAACTGTCAAGTTGGAGGGAGGTTACCAGTGGAGTTCCTCAAGGATCAGTTTTGGGACCAATCTTATTTAATCTTTTTATTACTGACCTGGGCACAAAAAGTGGGAGTGTGCTAATAAAGTTTGCAGATGATACAAAGCTGGGAGGTATTGCTAATTTAGAGAAGGACAGGGATACCCTACAGGAGGATCTGGATGACCTTGTAAACTGGAGTAATAGGAATAGGATGAAATTTAATAGTGAGAAGTGTAAGGTCATGCATTTAGGGATTAATAACAAGAATTTTAGTTATAAGCTAGGGACGCATCAACTAGAAGTAACGGAGGAGGAAAAGGACCTTGGAGTATTGGTTGATCATAGGATGACTATGAGCTGCCAATGTGATATAGCTGTGAAAAAAGCTAATGTCATCTTGGGATGCATCAGGAGAGGTATTTCCAGTAGGGATAAGGAGGTTTTAGTACCATTATATAAGGCACTGGTGAGACCTCACCTGGAATACTGTGTGCAGTTCTGGTCTCCCATGTTTAAGAAGGATGAATTCAAACTGGAACAGGTACAGAGAAGGGCTACTGGGATGATCCGAGGAATGGAAAACTTGTCTTATGAAAGGAGACTCAGGGAGCTTGGCTTGTTTAGCCTAACTAAAAGAAGGTTGAGGGGAGATATGATTGCTCTCTATAAATATATCAGAGGGATAAATACCAGAGAGGGAGAGGAATTATTTAAACTCAGTACCAATGTGGACACAAGAACAAATGGATATAAACTGGCCACTAGGAAATTTAGATTAGAAATTAGACGAAGGTTTCTAACCATCAGAGGAGTGAAGTTTTGGAATAGCCTTCCGAGGGAAGTAGTGGGGGCAAAGATCTATCTTGCTTTAAGATTAAACTCGATAAGTTTATGGAGGAGATGGTATGATGGGATAACATGGTTTTGGTAATTAAATATTCATGGTAAATAGGCCCAATGGCCTGTGATGGGTTTTTAGATGGGGTAAGATCCAAGTTACCCGGAAAGAATTTTCTGTAGTATCTGGCTGATGAATCTTGCCCATATGCTCAGGGTTTAGCTGATCGCCATATTTGGGGTCGGGAAGGAATTTTCCTCCAGGGCAGATTGGAAGGCCCTGGAGGTTTTTCCCTTCCTCTGTAGCATGGGGCACGGGTCACTTGCTGGAGGATTCTCTGCTCCTTGAGGTCTTCAAACTACAATTTGAGGACTTCAATAGCACAGATATAGGTGTGAGGTCTTTTTTAGGAGTGGTGGGTGAAATTCTGTGGCCTGCATTGTGCAGGAGGTCAGACTAGATGATCATAATGGTCCCTTCTGGCCTAAATATCTATGAATCTATGAATCTATGAATCCTCCAGCAGCTGTGGCATGAACCAGAAAATCCAGAAAAAGGTCACTGGAGAATTTGAAGGGTTCAGAACCCAGCACATCACACACAGAATGCAGCAGAAATAGATTCTTACATAGAATCAGGGTTATCAGGGCCGTCCCTAGCTATTCTGGAGCCCTATGCAGCGCCCCCGCAAGGTGGGATGTGAGGCCCAAGGTCTCCACGGGGTGCTGGCTTGGGGGGCAGGGAGGAACCGAACCCCAGCACTCACCAGTGGCACGGCAGGAGCTGGGTTGCTGCACTTCCCGCCACAGGTGAGTGCAGGCCCTGCCCTGCTGCAGTCCTCAGGGGAGTGGAGGCAGGGCTGGGGCAGGGGCCATGGGGAAGAGATGAGGCAGGGGCTGGAGCAGCACGCAGCTGTGCAGGGCACCCTACACAGCTGCGTACTTTGCGTATGGGTAGGGACGGCCCTGAGGGTTATGGTTGGAGGGGGAAGGGGAAAGGGACAGTTATAAAATAATTTCTCTTCCACAGTGGGTTTGACTGGGGCTGTACTTTTCCCCCATACTGGCTTTGAGACCCTTCTATCATGTACACAAGACTTGCAAAACCATAACAAGTCTCATAAGTCTGGTGTGTACCTCCACCAGGTCAGACCAGTTGTTCACTTCATCCAGTACCCTATCTGCTGCTGCTTTCTTCAGACAATGATCCATCTAATCTAGTGTCCTATCTCTGACAGTGACCAATGCCAATTACTTCAGAAGGCAGCTTAATAACTCAGTATACCTAAATGTTTAACATTATCCCTTATGGTGAAATTCCTTCCTGATTCCAGCTTATGCCCTGAAACATGAGGATCCTCATCAATTTATCCTAGTGGTTCTCAAACTTTTGTACTGGAGACCCCTTTCACACAGCAAGCCTCTGAGTGCGACCCCCCCCCCTTATAAATTAAAAACACTTTTTATATATTTAACACCATTATAAATGTCATAGGCAATGCAGGGTTTGGGGTGGAGGCTGACAGCTCACGACCCCCCATGTAATAACCTCGCGACCCCCTGAGGGGTCCCGACCCCCAGTTTGAAAATCCCTGATTTATCCCAACTACCATCACTGCAGAGGATATTCCCTTTTATACAAAATATCTAATCCTTTTTTTGTTGTTGTTATCCGTAACATCTTTACCTCATTAATATCATGTGGCAAGTAGTTCCACAGGTTAATTATACTAAAAAAAAAACCCTTCCTTTTAGGCTAAATGTTACTGGGTAATCTGAAACATATTCAATAAGGGCATGTGCTTATGCCAGTTGACAATCTATAGGACTCAACAACTCATGAGACGGCAGTTCCAGAGAGAGCAGAAATTTAAAGATAAAAAAATTGTGTGTTTGAGATTATCACAGTTGTATTTTTACCCTTTGCTTCCACGAAAATCTGGGAATTTGAGCAAGGGCCTGGATATTCATTGAGTTTCCTAGCAATAAGTTAAAACGGCAAGTGGAATCTTGAACCTCGTAATGGGGTAATGTCAGCCCTTCAGAGCCTGGATAGAAACATGGGTGTTTTGGGGCATGGTGATGAGCAATTCCCATATTTGATTTGGGCACAGGTGCTGTCTTCATGGGTGCTCCAGGGCTGGAGCACCCACGGAAAAAAATTAGTGGGTGCTTAGCACTCACCAGCAGCCAGCTCCCCACTTTTCCCCCAGCGCCTCCCACCTGCCAGTGGCCCCGCCGATCAACTCCTCCCTCTCCCTGCCAGCACCTCCCACGCGCCACGATCAGATGTTCCGTGGTGTGCAAGAGGAGCTGGGGGAGGGGGGGACGGGGCATGCTTGGGGGAGGGGGTGGAACTGGACCAGAAGATGAGGGGTGGGAGCAGAGCAGGGTGGGAAGAGGCGGGGCAGGGGTGGGGCCTTCGGGGAAGGGGTGGAGTGTGGTGGGGCCTGGGGCTGAACAGGGGTTGATCACCCCTGGGGAAAGGAAGAAGCTGGCGCTGTGGGAACGGGCACACATTTCACGGGATAAGTACTATTCATTCCCCCTTCCCCCAGCATGCTTACTACATTACCATTCCCCCTGAATGTGGATCCCACACAGATCACAATTAAATAAGTCTGGTACATCTCAGTCTAGTGCTAAATAAGGGTATTTGTCCCCATCACAAAACAACCACATTATGTCATCATAGCTGGTGTTTTCTGAAAAGGACAAAGTCTGGAATAGCAGATGGTACACAAGATAAGGCCTCCGGTGTGCCAGCAGATCTGGAGAAGCAGAGGGTGCTGCAAGACAGCATTTAAGAGCATCATCAGAGCTGTGTGTTACATGGTACCTACCTCCATAATGTCTGGTTCTCACTGCTGCTATTAACCTCTCTGTTTCACCCCAAAACCGAAAGAAAGGAGCTGCCTTCCCTTTAAACGTAAACTCACCTCCTGGTGTCATAGGGGAGCAGTATGGTATTTGTGACCCACCAGAGCAAACCTTAACTCTGACCACAAAAATCAAGCACGAACCCACAAAGAGCGAGGAATTTCCACCACATAATTTCACAACAGCCAATTTTAACCCTTCTTTATGAATTCTTACCTGCATATTACATCTTCACAGACACCGCTTACCAAGCAATTCAAAGCCAGCTCATTCTGTCCTCTACCCCTGCCCTCCTGCCGAACTTTGCCACTACAATAACGAAAGCTTCTTATACCCAAATTAAAATAAGCCATGGGACACAACATGCTTCCCCCCACAAACACTGGCCCACCTATTACTGCCATACGCCTGCCTGATTTCTTCTACAAACAACATGGTTGCCAATTTGTTCATTAGTGTGATGAAGGTGGGTGCTGTGAGTTGTAGACAGATGTACATAAGTATAGAAGGACTCGTGACACGTGGACAGAAGGAAGAGGAAGAACTTAACTGGTGATTTTCCAGATTTTTCATGATTGGGTTGATGGGATTTGCACTTAAGCAACCTTGACTTACCTTCCGTACCAAACAACCTCTGTCATTTCCAAAGATTTTTGATAAGCATGCATCAGCGCTGACAGTCATTCACATGACTAGCAATTAACACTAATATATATTATGCTCCCGCGCCGAGCCCCGATGTCTCCTCTGCCCCATACCCAGCTTGGTGTGCTCCCTGCACAGCTGCACTCAGGAAAATTTTCAGAGAAGGGCTAATTTACAAAGGTTTCCTCTACCAGAGCTGGTAATTTATTTAATCAAGAAAATCTTATGGGAAATTTAACTGACCTGTGACGAGTGTGTGTGAGAGACTAGGAGACTAAATTCAGCCATTCAAGTGCATAGCAAAGGAATTCCAGGCCACCTTTAGTCCAGCTCTCAATGCAGCCTCTCAATAGGCCTGCTAGGGCAGCCATTAATATTAATGTCAATTAACTAGGTGATTATAATGGAGAAAGACACCACAGGAACACAGAACGCAACCAGGACTTACCTCATTGGCTGTAACTGGAGACCGGTCAATGCCCCTGTTGACAGAGTCCCAGGACCTGGCGGTGAGCATGCATGCGAAGAGTGGATACAGGTCACCTGCCCCTAGCCGTCGGCTGTACTTCTGCACCCTCTTCATATCAGTCTTGATCAGGGACTGCCAGAGCCGGCAATAGTCCAAGCGGAACTTCTCTGTCAGGACCTGGGGCGGGAGGGCCATGTTCCCCAATGGAAATCAATCAACAGCACCAGGGCACAGAGGGGAAAACCTATCCCAACTAGTGGGCGCCTTTAACCACCTCCATGTCTGATATTTCAAGCTTCCAGGCATAAAATCCCATTAAAGGGTGGTAGGAGCTATAGGAAAAATCCACAAGGAGGATCGGCACACCTGGGGTGCCTCTTTAATTCACCAGGCCAATGACTGGCTGGGTGACATAGGAGGCTCTCAGCTCTATTCTGGCCTGAAGCACACAGGCATGAGTGACAGCTCCCCAAAGACAGTGCATAGCATCAGCCTGCTGGCTCCCAGCACTCTCCATGCTCACATACCTGGTAGAGCCCATGGTCCAGCAGTATAATGTGGGCCTTGCCGGTTGCTGGGCACTTCCTCACAAGCACATTGCCCGGGTGCGGGTCACAGTGTATGAATCCGTTCACAAAGATCATTTCACTGTACAGCTTCCCCAGATTGCGAGAGATCTGAAAAGAGACAGTAGGCAGTCACGGCACGGGATGGGGCTGCCAGCTACTCTACGGTCTAACAACTACGGGGAGGGGAGAGTCTGCCTGCAGCATGTATGCCAGGGACTGATGACTACAGGGAGCAGTGAGGAGCCAGCTCCTGGCACATACCCTGGGGTCTGATGGCTTGGGGCATTCAAAAATATGGGGGTATCCATCCATGGGACAAACATGGAGGGGTTTGTGGGGACAAGTGTAAAGTGATTGTCTATGGCATAACTGGAAGGAATTGGCACAAAGGCTGGCTCCATCTGGGTAGAAACAGGGGCACCCATTAGTGGAGAGGAAAGACACAGGGGCAGATGAGGAGGTATATGTTGGAGCAGCCATGGTGGAAGGTGTCTGACTGGGGCATCTGTCAAGGCAGAACTGGGCATCAAGGGACAGACACAGGGGAGGAGCATCTGTCTGGGGATGGATGGGGCAGTCTTGTCCCAGGGTGCACATCTGAGACAGACAGGGAGGCATCTTTCTCTCTGGGTGGGGTCTGCCTGGGAGAGACTGTGGCTGGTTTCTATAAAGGGAGTGTCTCCCTCCCTACATTGCTCAGTCCTCCTCCCACCCCCTCCTCAGTCCAGTGCTAATCTGATTTATGATGTCTGGGAAGATGAAGTGACAGAAAGAGGCTGTTTAAATCATCCTGTCACGGCCATGTCCCCCCCATACTCTGGCCACCTTATCAGCGGGTGATTTTATCACAGTTAAAAGCCTCCTGGGAGTAAGTAAATAGCCCCCAAGCCCGGTGTCTCGCTGGGGCAGGAGCAGCGCCAGGCCCCCCAGTGCACTCGCGCAACCCCTCAGTAACACATACCCGAGCCCCAACCTCACAGCTGTCCCCCACCCCGAAAGTTCCAAAGAGCCCCCCGCAGGACACCAAACGGGCAATTAAAAGGCAATCACTATAAACGATTCCTACCGCTCCCCACGCTGAATACAGTGTAACCAGCATGCTAAACCCCTCACCGCAGGCAGCCCCCCTGGAAGGAGAAAGGGATCCCAAAAAAGGGGCAGCAGGGATTCAAATGCCAAACACCTGTGCACAAATAAACATCACATAGTGCTTTTCAGGGATCACTTTGTCAGCCACTGAAATGCATCCGCCTCTGGGGTGGGATGAGGCAGCTGTTTGCCAGCCACAGAGCTACAGTGCGCAGTGTCGCATTAGGACAAGAAATGAAGATCCTCATATTTTGTTGACTCTGCAGGATGACTATGGAGGATCAGAATGCCACCCAAACTGGAATTTGGAATTAAGACCCCAATTTCTATGGAAAGTTCCTGAATGACTCCCACTGGTGAGGAATCAACAACATCTTCAGCAGCACAGCTCCCCTATCACCATGCTAACGAAGTGGGGCCAGTACTGACCCCTAACATCACATGGGGGCATTATTATTACCAGTATTGATTGAAGGGAGAGAGCACCACCTGAATCACCAACACAACCCACTGCAACAACTAGGTGATACTTAGAGTGATCCAAGCACTGACCCAGATCAAACCTGTTTAGTTTATGAAAGCTGGTGGGATCAAAGTACAACATGCTGTGGTGTGTTAAAAGAGCCAGCTAATAACTGCACAAAAATCAGGGAAAGGCAGCACAAAAGGTCCTTCTTAATCTGTTAATTCATTTAGATGATGGGACAGAACCTACGCTGGGTTCACAGACCAGTTGGAATGGATCCGGCTTCACCTCAGATTACAGCATCAGCTTTTCAATTCAGGACAGCTGGGTTCAAATTCTGTCTTGGGTCCAAAGTGAACTAAATTTCGCTGTCTCAGATTAAACTTTGTAGATTTTGGAGGCTTGGAATAGCCAGGGTTACTGCAAGTCAGGATTGACGGGCATCGGCAAAGCTGTGCATGAGGGCCCAGAGCTGGAATAGTTCGGTAGCCCTTTAAGTCAGGGCCCAGGGCTCAGATTCCCACCTAAGTGCTAGTACAATGCAGGGAGTGAGACAGAAAAAGGGTGTAAGTGAGAAGGACAGGAGCCCCAACCCAGTGACTGCTACCCACAAGTGAATTCCTATCCCAAACACCCATGTCCTATACCCTGTCTTCCTCTTCAAGTGCTGTGAGGACCTACAATGTGAGCAGACTAGGATTCCATCAGGAGATCCCCTGCCCGTCCTCCTGTCCCTCTACCTTCTCCCCTCAGTGCAGCCCTGAGCAGCCAATGTGGCACATCGGAGCCTTTCCCTGAGCCTGCTCTAGAGAAGCCTTTGCCCTGACAGAATGTCCAGCTGAAGTGTGAGACCAGCTGAGCTGGCAGCTGCATAGCACATCACCCCTCTTCCTGCCCTACACACTCAAGGAAGCAGGCACCTGGGACTCAGGCCACCCAGCTAGCTGCATGGAGGCCTTGCTGCAGCTAGACCCTACAACTGGAATCTCCATGGGCTTTAGAGCAAGTGATAGGAGGGTGTATGTAATGTGTCTGTGTGTGTGCACATGTGTGTCACGGGGAGCATGTGCTGCATTTCCGTGTGTGTGTTGTTCAGTAAGCATACGCACATGACTGTGAGTCTGTGCCTATTAATACAAACTACTTCCAGTGAATGTGGCTGGAATTTCAAAGGGAATTCGCTCGTTTGGCCACAGTTGCCTCTTTTGTGCTCACTTTCCACCAACATCCCCATGACCAAGCTTTAGTGGCATGATCAATGGTTCACAGAAAGGGAGTCCCAGAGCGTCACAGTCTGTGCTGGGAGTGCTTGAATGCTCATCCACTTAGGGAACACAAATAACAGCATAGGATTTTACCTGACCAATCACCACAATGCAACCCATTTTGATTCTGGAATATTCACGATCAATTCACTGCATATAATTCTTTAAAAATAAAACAAAAAAACACCACTTGGAAAATCCATTGGAGGAAACTGCAATCTACCCCCTCAAGACACTCCAGTGCTGCCGGTCCTGGATAAGGTGTCCCACCCTTATCACTGCTGACCTTATCCCTCCCACACTGACCCAGCAGCAAGGTAAAAAACAGGGAATAAAATGAGATTCAACTTGGAAGAAGGCAGCTAACAGATATAGGAAAATAGCCCCTGAGAACCAGCTACTCACTGGGAGGGAGAAATCTGGCAAATTGCGAGGCTGAGAGAGCCCAACCATAGGGGTGATGGTCGACAACGAATTAGATAGCAGTTTGCAGTGATCTATGGAAGCACAGCCCAGGCATGGCATCATGGCACAGAGAGGCCACAGCATCCAGCACAGTGAGGCCCCAATCAGCACCAGGGTCTTTAGATGTTGCTGTGATACAATAATACAATAATAAATAATAATAACGTGGGCATGCCTGGAATCCTGCCTTCACTTCTGGGCACCTTATTAACAGAAAGATGTAGACAAACTGGAAGGAGCTCAGAGAACAACACGGTAAATGATTAGGGGGGAGGAGGAATACACCTAGGAGGAAAGATTAACAGAGCTAACGATGTCTAGATTGGCTAAGGGATGAAAGGGAAGGGACACAAGAACAGTCTACAAACATCTGATGGGTGTGAACACTGAGGAGGGAAAAGAGCTACTGAGGCCAGGTCTACCATAGTGAGCTTACAGTGGCACAGCTGTACCGATGCAGCTGCGCTGCTGTAAGATCTCTCGTGTAGCCGCTCTATGCCGACGGGAGAGAGCTCTCCCGTTGACATACTTAAACCACCCCCAACGAGTGGCAGTAGCTATTGTAGTAAGATGAGGCCCTGAAACATAAACCCTTATATCAGAGACCTGGTATGAGGCCTAAGGCCTGAACTAAAGTAATGGTCAAGACTTTGCTAACATAAAGCACAGTTAAGCTGTGAGCCAGAGGCAAGGCAAGGCAGCTGGCAAGGAAAGGACTGATGCAGCAAATATCTGTATATATATATATATATATATATATAAGTAAATAAATAAATAAGGTACTGGACACTAGAGATACCAGAACACTCTGATACTTGCACATTCCACACACTTAACAAGGAACAAGCTGACCTACCCCAAAGACAGGGGCAAAAGGGTAAGATGAAGGATAGAGTTGTTTTGTTCAAACCAACATGTACAAGGTGAGAGGCGGCACCTTACTGTGTAGAGCGGTTGTACCTTGCTACGTAGAGGGGTTGCACCTCAGTACGTCAGGAGTGATGTGTAACTTGTTTGTACCTGTGTATAAGAATACATCCCTGGGGCGGTGTCTTTGTCCGGCCTAGGGAGCAGTGGAGTGTCCCGCCGCTGACTGAGCTGTGTCCATTGTCAGGTAGCACATATGTACTAGCAGAACTGTAGACATCTGATCCGGGGAGCTAGAGACTGTGTTTCATTTGACATTAAACCTGGCCGGGTGCCTTTGTACCTTATCAGAGTCTGTGGTCATTGGGGGTTCTCTCGGGGTCTGCTGTGTCAGCTATCTGCGCAGAGCCGGGGCAGCACACAGAGGAAACACACGCACGCAGCTGACTGTTATCAACACTGGATAGAGCAGAGCATCACACTGGTGGCGTCTGACAACACTGGTGACCCCGACCGCTGATCTGGTGAGTAAGCAAGCTGTCCGCTGTAGGAATCACAATCTAACATGACAAAAAACCATGAGCTAGGGAACCCCCTTAACTCCTCCCTGCAAATCCCCACAGAGTTTAAAAAATAGAATGGAGAAGAAACATGTAATTTGTAAGGCTAGGGCAGAGACTGTAGCCTTAAAATGTAAAATATTGCAAACTATAACCATTGCTGTTAAATGGCTAAGACAACATGCCACAAAATTGGCGGGGCAAGTAACAGTAACAAAGAAAGAGTTAAAAGAATCAAAGGATGCTACAAAGCCCTGAACTCTGCCTGTCACAGAAGGATCCCGGGGGTGCTGGCTGATAGGACAGTGTCCTTTCCTGTCTCTCCTGCATTTGTTCCTGTCTCTTTAGATCAGGAGCAGATACTAGCTGTTTGCCGTAATTCATCTGTAATATTTG